TAAGGCTTTACGAAATGAAATCCAAAGAACTAACTAGATATTAGATGAGAAGCAACATGATGGACTAGTATTCAAAACTTGCTTTCAAAACGAGTGTGATATATGTTAAGTAAAGTCACATCTTTAATTTCAAAGATCCATCAGATAGATTAGGTAGACTCGAAAAATGACAATGTGTTAAAACTTCACTATTTTACAACATTCCAGTAATAGCATAACAAGGATATCCCCGAAAGAGGCGACAGAGTGATCATAGAGTGGAACGAGGAGGAAGTAAGGTGGAACAAAAGAGGGAGTTAGAAGAGGGGAGACTATTTAAACCCAAATCCTAAAATAATTACCACTTGGAACTTAGTTAGAACTTGGAAGTTTGCCATGGACTAGGCAACCACGCCATGAACTCCATTGCGAACTTTTGCAATGATCAAGGATTTTCCGGTAATTACCAAGTAATTCATTTAGCTTTACCTTTACTCTATCCGTTATCTTACCTATAGCTTAGCCTTTATCTTTTGCCTCTACCTTTTACCGATTTACCGGTTAACATCAAAAGATTACCTTACCTTTTCAAGGCCTAGGGATGAGCCTGATCATCTCTTTTTACCATTTCCGGAAAAACTCCATCTTTCCATAACTTCTACATCATGGCAACATAGAAATACTTCATCATGGACCAGGTTTTCTTTAGTGCTTTGGCTAAGATCCCATCTACTTATGATGCATTCTTTGTTGTAAGGGAAACAAAACCTACTCTATTTCAATCTATGAAGAAGTGGTTGCCAACATCACTCTCTCTCCATTAGTTTTTTGTACTCCATCAAAAATTTGTCCACCATCTTTCTTGAGGGATTTTTTGACTCATTTTAGTTTTTTTCTAGTTTTAAAAATTGATAAGACCATTTATTTTTTATTTAATAATTGAATTTTAAATTTACCTATTTTAAGAAATAAATAACTTTCAATAAAATAAAAATAAATTCAAAATTTGAAAAATAATTAATAATGGCTAATTTCTAATTTTTGACACAATATTAACATAATTTTGTACATATTTTCTTTTTTTAACTTCAAAAAATTCGGAAATCTTAACTATAAAATATGATTATTAATTGAGGTTTTTCAATATTTTCAATTAAAAAATTTTATGCTTTATTTTCATAGAAAATAATTATAAATAATTAAAAATAAATTTTATTTCTGCTTTTTACACATTAAGCACTTAATTAAAAGATTTTGCTTTTTGATTTTTGTATTTTTGAAATTTTCTTTAAAATTCTAATGACCAATTTAGTTCTGTGAATTTATAATTTTAACATTTAATTAAGAATTTTTTTAATTTTTTTAATGTTTAAAAATTTAAAAAATATAATGAATTAATTATTATTTATTTTGATTTTGATTTTGATTTCTTAATTTCTATTAAATAAATTAAAAATTTTCAAAATCAGTGTTTTAGAAATTTAGAAAATCTCCTAAAAATCAATTTTTTTCTTTTTGTTTTAATATTGAACATTCAATTAAAATTTTTGATTTTAACAAACTTTTTCTAGTTTAAAATTCAAAAAATTGAATTGAAAAGTTGTATTTTAAATTTTGATTGGAAATTTTGAATATTAAATTTTTTTTTATTTAGTTAAATTTTTTAGGAATGAATTGTAAATGTAGTTCAAAATTTTTAAATAAAGTTATTAATGTGAATACTGTATTAATTTTTATACTGGAATCAATTAAATTTGATTACAAATTTTAATATAGACTAAAGACACAACATAGAAATTGAATAACATTAAAAATTGAATTATAATAATTTGACATGTAAGTCGCAAACAAAGGTGTTTGTAGCAAAAAGTGGAGATAGGAGTTACAAGCTGTTTAAGGTGAAAACATCACGTATGGTTCTGACGGCAGCTGTGTTAAAATCCTTGACTGACCCTACTGTTAATAACAGCTCAAGCTTTTTTAATGATCTTCTTTATTGTTATATTGGCGATGATAGGTGATTTTGATAATTGGTTTTTTACTATTATTCTAGTAATTTTGGATATGACATTTCCTAGATAAAATAATATTTCATGTTGGCTTTTGCCACCATCATTGTTGCAATAGTTCTGATTATGATTAAATTTAATGATTTAGTTTTAATCTATAAGGAATTTAGCTTTATATTTAATCTAATTAAATTTTTTATTGAAAAGTTTTTAATAAAATTTGAGTTATAATAATTTATCAATATTTGTAAAAATCTTTAAAACTATTTTACACGTATAGATACATTTGACAAGTATCTTTGAATGTCAAATTTTATTATTTGAATAAAAAAAGAAAAATATTTTATAAGAAGTTAAATGTTTGAATGGTTTAAAAATTATATTTGAAGATAAAAAAATAAATTTGAATAAAGATAAAAAAAATTTTATTTGAAAAAAAAACCTTATTTAATCTAAAAAGTATTTGATTTAAATCAATTTATTTGTTTAAAAAATTTTTAATGGCATGTATAAAAAAATAATATTTATTTAACTTTGAAAAAAATTGAGAGAATAATTTGGACTATTTATTGTTTTAATGGATAATTATTGAATTTTTTGATGTTAAGTATTAATTTTTTATTATCAATAAAATTGATGATGTAAGATACACTTTATTTAAAAAATCTGAATTTCTATATTTAGGAATATAATATATATATATATATATATATATATATTCAATTATATTCATACGGAAAGTTATGTATAATCAGTTTAGATGAAATATGTTCATACCAAGTTTAGATTTTCATAGTCCAATTAATTTATAATTATAATGAAAATATTTTATTGCATTGACATGCATATATATTTTTTCTCATGAAAATTATGCATTAAACTCTTGATTCGTAAAATCAAAGGTGATTATCATCCAATTATACATATGATAACATTTTATAAACTCATAAATAATATAAATAATACTTCATTTTTTGATTGTAGTTCTATAATAATCTAATACATTGAGACTCAACATACTAACCTAAACAGTCTCAACATAATTTTCAAATATTACTCATGGTTGAATCATGAATCACTGATACATGACAATTTAATATCATGCATGGTGATCACTCCAAACAATTTATGAAAGAAGAGGGCAATACAATGTGTTTGCATAGGTGCTTTAGTGAATAATTTGGCTGTCTATGGGAGCGATTGATTTTTTAGAAAAAAATGTCAATTTCAAATGAAAATGCAGACACATCCTTGAATTCTGAATATTTCACCATCCAAGAGTACAATTACTTTTGAAGCTTTACATTTATGGGCATAATTTCATATCTAGGGCATATATAAATTGTGAAGAATCTTTGAGTACATTTTTAAGCTGTTTGTAGTTAGTTCGAAAAAAATGCTAATGACTCTCACGACCCAAAACTGTATGAAGCGGGAGAAATATTGTCCTTTCGACGAGGTCTGAATAGACAGACATGTTATTGGCGTTGTCTTCAGTTAGCTCAAGAGATGGCTAGTTCAAATGTACATACTTTCGTGAGCAGTCCACACTTGTGCTTGACAAAACTGACTATCTTGTCCTCAAACGGTTCTTGAATCCAGGAAGTCGAAGCCCTGTACTTCCAAACAATATAACACCCTCATACCGAGCACACGCCAAACCGTACAGTATACTTTCCAAGCTTCTTGCACATGCTAAAATCGATAGTATTGGAACATTGTGTATCCACACCAATAATATGGACCATTTCTTGATTTGTGCGTGGCCATGTTAATCTTCTCCCTTTCATTAAAATTTTATCTCATGTCTGCGAAGATACAAATATGTTGACATGAATTTTTGTTTCACACGTGTGAATGGAGCATGAATAGGTGAGCATTGGACAGTGATGACTAAATGTGCCAAAAAAACTAATAATTATGTTTTCACTTGTGGTTAGAAAAATAAGAGTTCTCGAAAGTTCCAAGATGTCGAAAAGATTGAAACTATACAAAGTTGTACTCAAAAAGATGTCAATTGTAAATATGGAGAACAATATTGACATTGTTATGAAAAACATATGCCATTGTTATGAAAAACATAGCCACCCTAAAATTGAGCGCACGTCAGTCTAGGTGTGTACCCGACCGTAAGGCATATTTAGAAGAGGCTAACCAGACTAAAAACATTGGGTTGGATACTGGTAGTATAGTGAGCGCAATCACAGCAATCAATGAGTAAGAATGACCAAAGTTTGCTATGTCAGCTGGACATCATACTGAAGATTAGATCTACAACACATCAAGTACCCTGACAACGCAGTCGGGTAAGTTATTATTTTGGTTCATCTTGTTTATCTAAGGAACTATAAGGACATTAACTCAGTCAAAAAATTGAAGAAAATATAGCAAAAAGTACGGGAATACTCCATCAGCCTTGTTCATTGCCAAAAACATATTTCAACTACCATTGAATTACTGTACTTTCAACAATTTCAATTACTATTGAATAATCAAACAAATTCAGACATACGAAGATGAAATTGAAGGGCCATTTAATATGAACTACTAGAAATTGTATCAGTGATTCTGTGAAGATACGAATTAATGACCCTCGTTAGGAATTTGTTGGCCTAAAAAGTTTGCTCGTCTTCGTCTCTGTCCACGTGTAACTACCCCATTAGACATGGGTTAGGATATGTGCAAGTCAGCGCCACATAATAAAGTACACGACACGTCGACCTGGACAGCAAGAACCCCGCCGAGAGTTTACGCTGGGTCTCTCGGTCCCACACCCAATTAAACATGGGCGAGAACACAAATGGGCATGTCAGCGCCACGTAAGAAAGCTTAAATCCGCCAAGAGTTTACGCTGTGGTCTTTCAGTCCAAAACCCAAGGGCGAGAATTTAAATGGACATGTCATCGCCACGTCAGGAAGTATACGACACGTAGACCTAAACAGAGAGAACCCGCCGGGGGTTTATGCTGGTTCTCTTTCGGACCCACGACTTTCTCGAAATCCAGAGGGGGACTAAAATCTTCGCACATCCGAACGCAAGCGAGGCTGTGGTCCACTCGTGTCACTACCATGGCCGCAGACCATGTTTCGGATTCTGGTTCTGAGGTTTAAGCCGGTGCAGTCTCGGATGCTCGAATCTCAGAGTGTGTCTCCGAGGAATTGTGATTCCAGCAGTCTGTAATTTCGAGCACAGGAGCAACGACATTTCAGCTCGTTCGTTCCAAGGATGAATCTCGCCGCCGGAGCATCGCCGCTGCTGCATTCGGGGATTCGCCTCCCCAGATTGCGTGTCGACGCGAGCGACGGGTTTCTCCTCGGCGCGAGGTCGCGTCGGGGTTTATCCGAAGCAGAGAATGACATTATGGAGCTGGAGGACGAGCTGGTGGTAGATCCTGACATGTTCGAGGAGGTTTTTCCGACCGTGCGGAGGGAGACGCCGAAGACTGCCAAGCCAGGACGTTCAGCAAACAGAATCCTCGAGGAATCGTCGACCAAAAGCATTCTAATTCCCGAAGAGTGGGTGCCGGTGCAAAAGTACCACCAGAGAACGAAGAAGGAGAAGAAACAAGAGAGCTTGGCCCTCACGATCCAGAGGGCTCGGGAGAAGGAGGCGGAAGATAGGGCAATTCGAGAGGAAGCTGCGCGGGAGGTTCGCGCCAGACTCTTCGGCAGTGTCTATCTGAACGAGGAGGTGAGCAGCCGTTTTGTGGGTAGGGAGCAAGAGGGCAATGAATCAGCCGACGATGACGGTGTTGGCAGAAATGCCGAAGCCAAGGATTCATCGGAAGAATCCGAAAGCGAAGCGGAGGCTATTATTGCTGATTTTCGAGCAGAAGAGGCGCAGAGGGTGTCAGGGAGAGCTCGTCCTAGGGATTATCGCAGTGGGTTAGAATTCAGCTCTTTGGAGGAGGTCGCTGAGAGGTTGAGAGAAGTCCCGGAGACTTCCGCCAGCAGTAGCAGCAGCAGTGAGGAAGGGAGCAATGGAAGTGTTGTCGATGATGAGCCCCTCATTGTTCGGCTGAGTGCGGAGGAGAAAGCATTGCTGAAAAACAGGAACTTGAATTTTGCAACGATCAGCTCGAAGTCTTGGAGTCCTCTGCACACTCTGGCAGCAGCAGGGCAGGTTTATTTGGCTGCTGAGATCATAAAGAGGGGCGTGCAGGTGGATGCCGTGGATAAGGAGGGGTTCACCCCGCTTCACAGGGCAATTCAGAGTGGCCGGAAGATGATTGTGAGACTGCTCTTGAAGGCAGGAGCGAATCCGCACGTTCGAGACAAAGATGGAGCCACATTGCTGCATTACGCCGCGCAAACAGGCAGTCATGAAATTGCGAAGCTTCTGCTGCGAGACGATATTGATGTGAATGCAGCTGACAACGATGGATGGACACCCCTTCACGTGGCAGTGCAAAGCGGGAGGACCGAGTTGATTAGATGCTTGGTAAATCGAGGGGCCGACATGAATCAGGCGAATAACGACGGAAATAGTCCGTTAGATTTGTCTTTGTCATTTGGAAATTGTTTCAGGTTTTATGACACCATTAAGTTTATGAAGCGTAAAGAAGCTCAAAGCCAGTTGAGAAGAAAGGTTCGTGACAATGAAGGTTTTGACAATTAATTAGGCTAGTTCTGTGATTTCTCTTATATCTGTTGGTTAGATTCTCAACTTGTTAGATATAGTTCGAATCTTGGACTTTGAACATTCATACGGAAATCTTTGTAGAGTTCACTACGTTATAAACTTCGTGAGTTCACGGAAGTTTTATAGCGACGTAAATATAGATGAAATCGATCCTCTTTGGACCATGACCATCATATGATTAGCAGTGGGTTTGTTTGTGAGAGTCATCTTACTCTTCACTGTGATGCTGCAATCGTTTTGTTGAGCTAATTTCAGACCTTGCGAGATTTTTTTGTTGCTTTTTTGAGTTGGATACCCAATTCGGTCACCAAAAGTTAAATACTGAAGTTGGCTGTTTCTTCCAGCACTTTCGAGCTTGCTGTCATGTAGCATAATGTCTGTTGAGATTTGTACAGAGTTGATCACCTTGAGCCACTTCATTCGAGCTGGAAGATCAACGTAAATCGTTGTGATTATACTACAGGGAGCTAAACCTCTGAGTGAGGAGAGTGCATCTGAGCTCATGCTCCGGATCTAAATCGGAAGTGAGGTACCTGGTTCTCTTTTCCTGTTTTCGATGACTTCCGGTGGTAAATAGGGAAGGATGCGTAACGTCGAAGAAGTGGTGAAATTGCGTTCTTTCTTCTTCTTCTTCCAAAGACAATGTTTCGAGGTGGATGTGTGTTATGCCCCTCACCTGTAAAATCTTGTGGCCAGTCAGGTTCTGGCCTTAGTTTAGGGCATGAAAGAGCTTTGAACACAGCTACTGAAGTACTGAATGATTAGCGGAAAAAGGAATGGGAGAAGCCGGATGCAACGGGTGAGTCTCAAGCAGGATAGTACATCATCTATAATTTTCTTCAATCTGAAGGAAGTCTATTTAAGATAAGTTGAAATGTGAATCCAACTTGCGCAGAAGGAATTGACAGAACGAAGTATAATAGGATGGTAGAAGATACACTGCATTTTATGGAACTTAGATAACAACCAAGAAGAGTCTGCACCTAGACAGAAGAAAGCGGAATAGCTTATTTGAAATTGACCTCAAAGTTAGGAATGTCATACACTAAAAAACGGTGTAGACAGCTGCTTTTTTTATGTCCGCAAGTCATCAACATAATACCTTTAGGTAAGGGATCATTGGAAGGGTAGGGAACGCCAACTCTAAGTAAGTGTTCAACAAATAGATAGGTTTGTGAGGTTTCATCTTGGTTACAAATAAGCTATTATACTTTCTTGCAAACTTTGACTTACTTGCAGTACCTTTCGAATACCCCTGGATGTAGTTGCAGAGCGGCTTGGTGAAATAAACACATATCATACGTTGTGTTGACTCGAGGTCCAGGAGAGATGCTGTGCATGATGGATGCATCACCAATTTCAAGCATGTAGAAGGTAAAATAGTAGGGATCGAAGTGTGTCGAATATGCATGAAATCTCAAGGGGAAATGGAATATGCTAATTAGGACTCTTAGTTAACCTTGTATGACGAATACAGGTTTAAGGAACCATCCATTCATAGAACATCCATCGAGCACCAACCTTACGTATGTCAATACGCACACCATTTGCAGAAGGTTATTCAATTTCAAGGATAATCGATGTGGAATGGAGTGAAGGGTATCACGCCACCGTCTCAACCATCACCTGGACTTGTTTCGGTCGGAATTCGAAGGCTAGGCTTCTGAAATGATAGTGATTGCAGGGATTGTGGTCTCCATCCTGAGAAGGTGTAACACTAGAAGACACATCAGAGCCACTTTTTGGGTACACCATCTTTCAGCCGTTAGAAAATCTTTGGCTGCTAATGGTTGACTTCGACATTTCACAAGATGCGTTGCCACGGCTTCGAGTATTTTCCAGTTTGTTTCTTGTATAATTAGCCGTCGACTCGAGCTGCGCAAGATGCGTTAGAAGTGCATTGTCTTAACTTCCATATTAGTTCTCTTCAAGCGTGTCACATTGATCCATCAATTACATCGTGAAAGTCTTTGGAAATCGTGAAACTCACTCTTCTTCGTAAACGATGCCAAGCACGGCCTGGACTCTTAACAGATTCCCTCTCAAAATATGACGAAGTGTTCAAGAGGTGTTGGATCACGCGCAGGAAGTGAGATCCATGCCTCATTCGTGATTCTACCGTTTTCCACGTATTCCGAGAGGTTTATCGTTCTAGATCGATTGTCCACAGCAATCGGTCAAGGACGATAAGGAAATGTATTGCCCACGATTCCAATTGCAATACATTTCTTTCTCCAAATTTTGCATTTTGCACACAGCAAACACTTCTAGCTCGCAGTGTGCGGCATATGGCTTTGGATTTTATTGGATGAAGAAATACAGGGGTGCGAATTCTATCTTTGAATTTGTGCAATTTGCATATAAATTTCGGCCCAGCAATGCCACCGAGACGAGCTGAGCGGATGCAGTGACCTCCTTGGGTTTCTGGAAGAGGCAAATGCAAAGGATGCCGTTTTACATATGCTGGACGGAAAATTGTGGAGCTCCAAGACGAGGGTTCAGAGCTGGTGCGGAGAAGAGTATTTTGAGGATCACGAGGGCATTCAGTCACTTCAGTCATCACTTCAGTCGAGTGAGACGGTTACCACACAATCCCTCCGAAAAGACCAATTATGAGACTGTAGTCCTCGAGCCTTGAATATGACCCAAAATTTCGTCCTATTGCTCAACATTAATGTGGACATTTGATCAAAAAACATTGTACAACTTAAAAACAATTAATTAACTTGTTTTTGTAACCTTTCTGTGCATAATAACAAGCATCGGTGGTCTAGGGGTAGAATAGTTCCCTGCCACGGAACAGACCCGGGTTCGATTCCCGGCCGATGCACGTTATTATTTTTAGCTCTTGGTTCCTTTGATAGATCTGCTGTTTCTGGCTTTAGCTGTTACCAGATCTAGCTACAACTGCATACATACTTGTGATATCAACTCCTAATCGATGTCGGAGTCAGTGAAGACTTTTCTTGCTAGTTGTGGTTCCCGGGTTTAGGGTTTTAGTATACCATTCAAGTAATATCTTTTGTACAACCATGTTCTTTCTGAATGAATCCAACCGATGGCAGCCGATGAGTTAAATGTCAAAGTCTTAAAAAAATAATATAGCTATAGTGAAATTTTTTCAAAAAGCTACTTCAGTAAAAATTGAGTACAATCATATAAAATATATCATATACTTTTAGAATAATACTTTGATGAATTGTTGAATAAAAAAATGGATGGATATAATATCAATAATATTGTGATGTATTCATTGTCAAAATGATGTAAAGTTTTAAATCGCAGTTGAAGATTTCAAATGTATATGGGGAAGTATAATGATCTTCATCTTGCAAATGGTAAGATGCTTTGGAAATTTTCCTCATAGAATGTATCAATAGTACTTTAGATTTTGTTAATGGTTGAGACACTCACAAGAATATCAACAAGTATTATATTTCTATTACAAATTAGACACTGAAAATATGTCAAGTAAGAATAAAAAACACATTCAATCAACATAATGTATTGATTTCATACTAAAAAGTAGATTTCGTGTCAATAAATATTGTCATACAATCTACATCGTTGAAATGCTATACACACACAAACACACATAGAGAACAAGAGCGTACACACACAAAGGTATTACAATTTGCTTCCCTAGCTGGCGATCAGGTACTCTAACTTCTAGGTAATCCTATCTACAACTACATGCTATACATCTTCATGGGTGCGCGAACCAGTCGGTCAGATGCTATGTCGTTTCATCGTTAGTCGCATATCTGCAATTCATAACATGTGAAGATCAATTCATCTATCCCTCCAAAGTTCATTGAGGACAAATCCATCGTCCAATCGAAACAACGTAAATAGTGAGCCAAACATACCATAGAACATCTATCAAACACCAACATACGGACCGCATAACCAGATGAGCCACATAACATGCACCTCAAGCCAACACAAACTATTGCCAATCTTGGGTTCATGATACCATGCACATTTGGAAGGTGGCATGACACATAATTGCACAGATGATACTTCTGAACAACATCGTCAAGACTATCCAATTTCAGAACTTCAGAAGATAACACCTTCCACATTCGCAAGATAGTGCATCATGCCGTCACATCCAATGTAGTTGGTGCCAAATCTAATAAATACATCTTCTTTAGTTGACTTTTTGTCGACCATTTGCATGATCTCAAAAGCATTGTCAGCTTCTACTTTCCTTTCTTTTGCTTTGCTTGCGGCAAAAGCTTTGCGTTTCTCCTCAAGAATCTTGTCATGTTCGTTCAAAGTTATCTCATTGTTTTCCTTCTTTTTTTCTTTTTTCTCGCCGTACTCAATGACTACGACGTCAACATGGTTCTCGCCTTCAAACTTCTTCTCTTCAACGGGAGTGATAACTTTCTTCTCATCTTTTGTAGCAACATCCACAGATTCTTGCATGACACCCTCATCACCATTAGCTCCTCAGTTTGCTCGACCATAACCATCTCGCTTATCTCATTGCACGGCCAAATCCACTATGACGATCGTGCTCGAGCCGTTCTTGACGACCCTCATCGTCTCCTTCATAACCACATTCACAATCTTCACGGCCACAGCCGCCTCCGCCTCCGATCAATTTTTGACGTTCTCTCCACGAGGTAGCCTTTCATTGACACCACCAAAGCATCCAACTCCTCCACTAGCAACATAACAAACGCGATTTACTTCCTAATGGCCATCGCTGTTCTCTCGGTTGTTCCGCGGTCGTTGTAGTTTCCGCGATCCTGGAAGAAGCAAGCGCGATTCACGTGCTAAAACCCTTCATCGCGATCACCAGCTATATATCGTCTTAATTCTCACTAAAACTCACACCACACACCAATGAACACAACTATTAGATAATATGCAATGCTTTTTCTTTGAGCTTGAATTGAAAGTCAACTACTTGATTTATCCCGAGTTGACAAACATTCTTTAATCTCCACATTCTCAAATGCTTTCTGAACTTCAAGGTAATATCCGAAGTTTTTTTTGTAAGCAAGACCACAATTCTGAAAGAAGTGTGGGGACTGTAAGTGCTATCATTGCACCCCAAACTATAGACCTTACTCTCAAGACATGTGCTGGTGTATGAAGACGCCCAGAGTGCTATTTTTTTTTAAAACTTGAACTCGTGAAAAGCACCTAAGAA